TATATGGAAGGCATCCTCAGAGGTCGTGAGGTCTGTTTGTCTGTTTGAGGTAGGTGTGGAAACATTTATGCCTACCTTGAACAGACAATAATTCTTTCTCCCATTGTGGACATTCCACAGATATATAAACCCCACTTGCATAGTTTCCAACAGACCTCCTAACCTCTGAGGATGCCTACCATAGATGTGGGTGAAACGTCAGGAGAGAATGCTTCTGGAACATGGTTGCACAGTCTTGGAAAACTGACAACTCAGTGATTCCGGCCATGAAAGCCTTTGACAATACTTGGAAGGGTCGTTTGTCATTATTGTATGCCTTCCAGTTGTTTCCGACTTATGGCGAGCCCATCATGGAGTTTTCTTGGCAAGATTTGTTCAGACAGAGTATGCTGTTCCCTTCCTTTGTGGCTGAGAGAGAGAGACCCTGTGCTAGGTAACAGTGGGTTTCCATAACCAAGCAAGGATTTTAACCCTGGTCTCTCAGAGGTATAAGTTGCATCTATACCAGGCATGGGCAAACTTTGGCCCTCCGGGTGTTTTGGACTTCAACTCCCACAACCTTGTGGTCCCTACTAACAACAACAACAAAAAATCAAAGTGGTCCCTGGTCAAAAAAGGTTGGGAAGCACTGTGTTATAGGGATGAACTTAAGTACCACAGGCCAAGTTACATTGCAGGCAAGATGGCCTCCCCCAGTAGTTTATTTCTAGACTGGTACTCCATAGCAGGAAATGATGTGAGACATGAAAGTGAAGGCACTATATATTAGCAGATGAAACCACAAAGGTTATTTGTGTGTTATCCAACTGCATTTCAGACAAGATCGTTTCAATTATATTGAAAAGTATAACATTATCTAAAACATAAAGGGGTGTCTGATGGGCTTGCAGTGGTGGAAAATTAGTGATTTTCCTTAAGAGTTGTTGAGATGGTTTGTTCAGCCTTACCAGAAAGGAAGCACTTTAAAAATCATTATGTTTCCTAGATAGATTCACATACTGCATTTCATGTTTGCACAAAAGTTTCACTAAGCTATTGTGTTCGTGGAAGACATTATGTGGAACATTACTTTTTCAGTGTTCAATTATCCTCATCAGGGAGAGTCTGAAACTGTGGTCCAAAACACACAATGTTTCCAAAGTGATTTCCAGAGAGTGAAAGTGTTTTTTTTTTTTTAAAAAAAAATGGTATGAACTGGCTATTGAAGTCAGGGTGGTGTTTGCAAACAGTGCTGTTCCCAGGGGTCGAAACGTTGCCCACAACAGGCCTCCCTCTTATGCCGTACACTGACCCTTTCCAACCAACTAAGGGGAAAGTGCAGGGCAAACTTCTCTCTCTTCTCACTCTTACTTACATGCTGAGAGAAGCAATTGTGTTGTTGTTGTTCCAACCTTTACAGGGCAGGTAAAGAAACTTCTCTCTCTTCTCGCTCTTGCTTGTGTGCTGAGATAAGGCAATAGTGTTGTTGCGGGTTGCTGTGAATTTTTTGGGCTGTATGGCCATGTTCGAGTATCATTCTTTCCTAACATTTCACCTGCATCTGTGGCTAATGGCATCTTCAGATGTTCTGTTGACAGTGAGGCAAGTGTATATTTAATGTCCAGAGTGGGAAAAAGAATCCTTGTCTGTTTAAAGCAAGTGTGAATGTTGCAGTTAGCAAGCTTGAATAGCATTGAGTAGCCACGAAGCTGCAAAGTCAGACAGTGAGGGTATCTGCATAGAGGTGGCTGGGCCTCTGTTGCCTGGAGGCATCCTCTGTTTGGGAGGTGTTAACTGGCCCTTGATTGTTTCCTGTCTGGAGTTCCCTGCTTCTGAGTAGTGGTCCTTATATACTGTATTGATTCTGGTGGTTTTTTTTAAATATTGGTAACCAGATTTTGTTCATTTTCTGTTCAAATTGTTCACATGCTTGTGGATTTCAGTGGCTTCTCTGTATAGTCTGACATAGTCGTTGTCTAGAATGTCTGTGTTCTCAAATAATTTTCTGTGTTCAGGTTGGTTCATCAAGTGCTCTGCGATGGCTGACTTCTCTGGTTGGATTAGTCTGCAGTTCCTTTTATGTTCTTTGATTCGATAGTGTTGTTGTTTTTCTTCAAGTGGTTTCTGACAAGAGTTTCTTGACAAAATTGGTACAGTTATTGATGAGAAACAACATAAATACTGTCAGAGGCTACAGAAGTTTGCATTTGCCTTAGGCCCCTTCCACACAGCTGAATAAAATCCCACATTATCTGCTTTGAATTGGGTTATATGGCAGTGTGGACTCTGATAACACAGTTCAAATTAGATAATGTGGGGTTTTCTGCCTTTATATACTTTGTGGAAAGTCCCTAAGTCTATATGGAGGGGCAAGATCCCACCCCTCCTTCTCCACTCTGCTGGGTTAACTGAGAGCCCTTCTACACAGCCCTATATCCCAGAATATCAAGACCGGAAATCCCACATTATCTAAGTGTGAACTCAGATAAGCCAGTTCAAAGCAGATATTGTGGGATTTCCTGCCTTGATATTCTGGGATATAGGTTGTATGGAAGGGCCCAAAGTCCACACTCAGATAATGTGAGATTTTCTGCCTTGATATTCTGGGATATAGGGCTGTGTGGAAGGGCCCTCAGAGTGCAGCAATTGTGAGCCAAGGACAAAAGGAGATGGTTGGAGAAAAGAGAGAAACTGGGACTCTTTAACAGGAGCTCAAAACTGGCACAATTGAGCATTAATCAGAACTGTCCCTGTCAAATGAAGACACTTGGAAAGTAAATAGCTGAGCTACTTCATACAGGTGACAACATATTAGTCCTTTTCCGCAAATGTATAGAACTCCATTTCATTTTCCCTTATTATTGACTTGCTTGTGAAGGAACTCTGTCTCTGTTTTGAAGGTCTCTCACCTCCCTTTTTGCCTTTTGGGTTGCTGCGAAGGGCAAAAGGACCTTTTGAGTCAGTACATGTCCAATTCAGTCCAGAGATCTTTGTGTTAAGGCACCCACCATGGAAAACAATTTCACAGGCCAGCTGTCACAAGACAAAGATTCTGGGCAACAACTGACAGCAAAACCAAACCCAAACAAAACCCAGTAAACAAAGAAAACCTATTGGGTTTAAAGGAAGGAATTCAGCAGTGCTGCCTGAGAATGGGGAAGGAAAGACATGATGAGGAGAGGATCCACTGATCAGGCAACTTGCTACTGTTACGCACTGCTACATTTTATTTTTTGTACATAAAATACTTCAGTTACATATGTAATATTGTGATTATGTGTAACAATTTATTTATTTATCATATCGGAAGCGAACCAAGGGTACAGTTGTAATGTATTTGAAAACACAAAAAAGTTTAAAAACTTGGCATTATACTAAATTTCCTTTGACCAGAAGCTGGCCACTTGGACTGCCTCTTGTGTTGCTGTGAAAAGGTCCTCCATTGTGCATGTGGCAGGGCTCAGACTGTTTGTAATAGGTAATCTGTGGTTTGCTCTTTTCCACACTCGCATGTCGTGGACTCCACTTTGTGGACTCATTTTTTAAGGTTGGCTCTGCATCTCGTGGTGCCAGAGCACAGTCTGTTCGGCGCCTTCCAAGTCACCAAGCCTTTTGTGTGCGCAGGAGGGAGTCCCTCATTTGGTATCAGCCACAGATTGAGGTTCCGGGTTTTATTCTGCCATGTTTGGACTCTTGCTTGCTGAGGTGGTCCTGCGACTTAGAAAACTATTTCTTTATTTAAGGTGTTGGCGTGCTGGCTGATATCCGAACAGGGCTTGGGCCGGAAATATTACTGCCTTGGTCCTTTCATTATTGACTGCCACTTCCCGGCAGATGTCAGGTGGTGCAATACTGGCTAAATAAAAATGCTAAGAGAGGGCCTTTTCGGTGGTGGCCCCTCGACTCTGGAACTCACTCCCTAAGGACATCAGGCAGGCCCCGACTCTGGCAGTTTTCAGGAGGAGCTTGAAGACGTGGTTGTTCCTTCCCGGATTAATGATCCTATAGCACTTTGTCCCTCTAAAGCACTTTACATTTTTTAGGTCTGCCCATATGTCTCTCCACAAATGCCACTATCACCTGTTCGTCCATGTTCAGTACTATTTCCAATTTTAATTTTACATGTGGCCTTCCCATAGTTTTAATTGTATGTTGTCTTATTGATAATGTTATATGTTTATGTTTTATTTTAATTGCTTCTATTGTTGTGATTATTGCTTGTATTATGTGTTTGGGCTCGACCTCATGTAAGCCGCACCGAGTCCCTTGGGGAGATGGTAACGGGGTACAAATAAAGTGTTATTATTATTATATTATTATAAACAGTATAATTTCTCAGAGGTGTGGGGGGTAGACATCCTGTGATAATGCATCATGTCTCATTAAGAGTCACATCCTCTGTTTTAACGTCATGAGATGTGTTCTACACTGACCATGCGTATTCAGCAACAGAGTAGTAAAGCGCAAGGGCAGATGTCTTCACTGTGCCTGTGTAACAATGTTGAAGAAGTCACTTGATGCATTGCAGTACCATAAATAGGGACATAGGTGTACATAAAATGGGCATATGTTCATTCATATGTACAGACTGGGAACTCAGCATGAACCAACTTCTGTAGGTGGAGAGATCCTTGTAGCAAAATGCCTTGGGCCCAGGGACGGATTAAAATGTGTTGTGGTCCTTAAGCTATGCCACGTTTAAGCATCACAAAAATATATCATTCCAAAAATAAATATTATTTAAAAGATGTAATTTAGTAAGGATTCATATTTTTGTTGTATTTTTTTCATTCAGAAGCTGCTAATTGTCCTAGGCCCTAAACCGAAGCTTATATAGCTTATTTAGTGCTACTGTAGTACTTACAGCCTATGGAACTTGAGTGTGCATGCCTTGAGTGAAATATCCCCTCACACATCCATTTGCAGGACGTGTTGCCCTGTGTGCCCTTTTGGATCTACCCTGATTAATGCTGCCGCTTTCTATTTCTTTATGTTTTCTTGTTTTTTTTCTCACCTAACAGGAAACATGGTTCCAGAGCACTGACCTGAAGTACCAGCCTGGTGAGTGCCAAAAAGGAGCATTGTGCATTTTATTGATTGTTGGTATAAAAATGACATAAATGTCTTTTTCCCTTCCAAAGTAAGGTAGTTTGGTGACATCAGTAGGACTGACAGTGAACATTCAGAAATGTCCCTGTTTCAGGCTATAAACTAAATGTTTGATGAAAGCACAGATTCCTCCTGAACGGATGCAAAATGYCATGCAAAGTGCAAGCCCTTGTTATGATAGTCTCTGTAGGCATCTCACTCAAAGACCATTAACTTGAAAAGGATGTTATGAGCTGCCAGGCCGTCCCCCCCCCCCCCCCGCCCACTTTAGCTAGTATCCCCAGAGGCGGATGTCCCTCTCTTTGAAGATGTTGCACTCCAGGCCTAGAAACACCTATGACCACATTCAAGGTTCAGGAATATAAGCAAACAGTTTATWGTGAAACACATAAAAAGAATATAAAAAAGCAGGAATAAGAAAGGAAGATATCTAATCCAGAAAAGTTTAGCAACTTTTTTGGATTAGATATTTTCCTTTCTTATTCCTGATATCTTCCTTTCTTATAACCAAACAGTAATCTAAACATCTCATAAAGTTCCAGAGGTCACAGAGTCCAGGTACAGCATAAGTCCACAAGCAAGAAGGTATAACTAGTAAAACTTGAACAGGAGTACAGGAACAGGAACATAGAAATCTTCCAAGATATTAACATCCAAAACCAAGGCTTGACTTGAACCGGGAACCAGAGAACTCAGGCCTAGTTTCTCACTCTAACACAATGTTGCCTGAACTGCCCTTAAGGTAAGCAACTTGTTGTCTAATAGACACCCATGAAAGCATGACATCTCCCATGAATTTTCTCCACAACTTTCCCGATTAATCTCTCAGATCAGCGTACTCTATTTTCAGCTCTGATTTGTAAACAAAGACTTTTGTTGATCTCCATAGCTACAGGTGGTTTCTCCTGGGAACCCTTCTTATCATTCTCTTCACTCAATTCCTTATCTGCTGTTGTTTCTTCTGGCTCCTCTGACTGGCCTTGAGGCCCTGCAAGTTCCAAGCCAGTTTTCTTACAGAGAGAACCATAATTTCCCAGAACTGAATTTCCCAGACTTGAAGGCCCATCACTTTGTGCTACAGGACAGCCCACAATCCTCTCTCAACCATCAGCCTCTGGCTGATCTACAACAGAAGACACCCAGAGACATCCCACCACCTCTCTAGGCAATTGGTTCCATTGCTCAACTGCTGTCAGAAGTTCCTTCTAATGTTCAGTTGAAATTATTTATTTATTTATTTATTTACAGCTTTTATATTCCGCCCTTCTCACCCCGCAGGGGACTCAGGGCGGATTACAGTGTACACATATATGGCAAACATTCAATGCCAATTTTGACTTACAACATATACAGACATACACAGAGGCTATTTAACTTTTTCTGGCCGCCAGGGGAGCTGTCGCTTTCATCGTCCATCTGCGACACTGATGAAGTACTTCCGCATTCCCCGCATGCTTTTTGCTGAAGTGCTTTGCTGGAGTCTTTTTTTTTTTATGGCCTCATAAATTAGTTAGTTTAGCCTCCCCACTCTTTAAGGTGGTACCTAATTTTCCTACTTGACAGATGCAACTGTCTTTCGGGTTGCAAAGGTCGACAACAGGCTACCCTTCTGAAACTTAAAACTATTAGACCTGGGTTTACTCTCCGAGTCCTGCACGCTCCTCTTTCTGGCAGCCCTTGAAGTATTTAAAGTATTGAACCATGTCACACTCAGTCTTTTCTTCAACAGGCTGAACATGCCTAGTTCCTTAAACCTTTTGTTCTCCATAGCTCTTGTTACCCTCTTTGTGAAAGAATACACAAAAAAGAGCATCTACATTCACTTTATCAGCACAACAGTTCTAGTTTTTAGTCACTTAGAAGCAGATCTTTTGTAAAATTGATTGATTTTAACTGCCAGTTCAAGCCCAAACTGCCCCAATTACAATATGCGTTAGAACATGGATAACTCATGAGTATTTCATTAATTTGCCCAGATATTAGGAGAGCTGCAGTAATTCTCATAGGGAGCAGAGAACCCGGAAGGGGATAACAGATGGTCATCTTCACTACTAATTAGGAAGTCCCAACCCTCCAGCCATGTGAGCTCTGTCTGCACTACAACATGGGTTGCATCAAATGAGACTAATTGCCCATTTAGTGTTCCATACCATACTTGGCAGGGGCAATAGTTTTCTTTGGTTTCAGACAGAGGTTCTTTTTTTAATGTAACCATTTTTGACAAGAGCTGGCTGGGAGTGGATCTGGAACCTTTTGCGTGGAAGCAATAGCTCAGCTCCTAAGTTAAGGATTGTCCTCAAGGACAGAAGCAGAGCTGGTCCTTTCCACCAAATTGTTTCTTCTGCCCTGCTATTGCTTTACCCTTCCTCTGTGTCTTTTTCAGCCAGAACTACTTTCCAGAATAAATGTAGCTTATAGAGATTTGGTGCTTTTTAAGAAAGACCTAAAAATTTGGCTCTTCCGATGAGCCTTTGGCGAGTGAACATATATTCCATATTTTGTCTGTTCCAACTACAGTTCCATCCTCATGATGCATCCCCCCGCCGCCCTTAATGAAAGTCTAACCCCATTGTTCGTTCCTTTTGAGCTCCTCCCTCAGAAACACATTCTCCCACTACTTATCTCATCCAGGGTTTTATCCATTTTTATCCTAGTGCATTTGGCCTACCCACTGTGTTCTGTTTCTCTATCATGTTATTTTGTAACTGTTTTATTTTGTTATTTCGTGCATTTATTTTGATGGTATTTTCTGCTTCTTTGTATTTTATTTTGCTGTACTGTAATTTTGGGCTTGGCCTCATGTTAGTCGCCCCAAGTCCCCTTTGGGGTGATGGTGGCAGGATACAAATAAAGTTTATTTTTTTTATTATTATTATTTGAAACACAACAAGATGAGTCCACAAAAGACAAGATCACTCTGCTGGCTCTTTTATGGGATCACACGTCGGACACTTCTCAAGTGTCTAGGATTGTGTGATGTATCGGCGAATAATGCGTGTAGATCTCAGAAAGGTGGCCTTCTGCAGCTGGCAGATGGTAATTTTGTTCACACCGATTGTGTTTAACTGCTTGCCAAGGTCTTTAGGCACTGCACCCAGTGTGGCGATCACCACTGGGACCACTTTGACTGGTTTGTGCCAGAGTCTTTGCAGTTCGATCTTTAAATCCTCATATTGTGTCAGCTTTTCCAGTTGTTTCTCTTCAATCCTGTTGTCACCTGGGATTGCAACATTGACAATTCATACTTTGTTTTTCAACACGATTGTCAGGTCAGGAGTATTGTGCTCCAAAACTCTGTCTGTCTGAATCCGGAAGTCCCAGAGGAGTTTGACGTGTTCATTTTCTGTAACTTTTTCCGGCTTGTGATCCCACTAGTTCTTTGTTGCAGGCAGATGGTATTTGTGGCACAAGTTCCAATGAATCATCTGAGCAACAATGTTATGCCTCTGCTTGTAGTCTCTCTGCGCCATCTTCTTGCAGCAGCTGAGGATCTGATCTATTGTTTCATCTGCTTCCTTGCAGATTATTATTTGTGTGGGGAAGTGATGGAAGGAGTTGTAAGGGGACACTTTGCAGTTGTGGAGATCTGGGTTCCCATGCCCAGATCAAGGATTGGTCTTGGTATTAGGTAGAGTGAGATAGACACAGTTAACAGATCTTGGGTGGCATGAAAGGGCGATATTTCTTTTCCAGTTACAACAGTGTTTCTCAACCTTCCTAATGCCATGACCCCTTAATACAGTTTCTCATGTTGTGGCCACCCCCAACCATAACATCATTTTCATTGCTACTTCATAAATGTAATTTTGGTACTGTTTTGAATAGTAATGCAAATATCTGATATACAGGATGTATTTTCATTCACTGAACCAAATTTGGCACAAACACCTGATATACCCAAATGTGAACACTGGTGGAGTTTGCGCAAAATAGACCTTGACATTTGGGAGTTGTAGGTGCTGGGATTTATAGTTCACCTACAATCAAAGAGCCCCTCAAACCCCACCAACGATCGAATTGGTCCAAACTTCCCACACAGAACCCCCAAGACCAACAGGAAATACTTGAGGGATTTGGAAGGAATTGACAGTGATTTAAGGTAGAGCACTCCTGCTCTCCCCTCCCCACTTGGAGTCTCAGAAACAGTCCTCCCCTTGGCTGAGAGGCCCACCAATCACAGCGAAGGAGGACTTTTGGTGGGAGGCTTCCCCGTTTGTTTCCAAAAACGAGGAGAAGGACAGGTGGAGAGATCTCCAACCTTCTCTGCCAAAGGGGTTCCTAAGACCATCAGAAATATGTGTTTTCTGGTAGTCTTTGGCGACCCCTCTAAAAAAAAAGCCCTCGTGACCGCCCCAGGGGTGCCGACCCCCAGGTTGAGAATCACTGGTTGACAATGATGCATATACACACGCAGAGATCTAAGTTCAAAGAGTTCAGTGGTGCATTCTCCTAGGTAGGTGTGTGTATAGGATTATAGGCTGAGACATTCTAAAAGTCCATTGGACCACATATTTCTTCGTTGACAATTATGCTTTTTCAGTTATATATTTTTACTTTGTTGTTAACTGGTATCAACTCAACTTCCTATGCACAAAACACATCCAAGGCACTTTATCTCCAACAGTCCTACTCAGGTCTTGCAGACTAAGGGTCATGGATTCCTTGACTGAGTCCATCTATTTGTAATGCAGTCTTCCTCTTTTCCTAAAGCTTTCTACCTCACCAAGTATATCCTGTATATTTGTGTTGTGCAGATTTGGACTTTCAGCATGTCATAGCTGAATGTTTTCAGACTGAGTCCAGTTATGTCATTGGTCACAGTACAGAAGTATGATATAATATTACATCACATGTTAATTATACTACGTGCATATGAACAAGAAATGTATGTATTGATTTTGTTGTTTTTTTTCTCAATCTTTCTTGAATTTTGCACATATATTCAGGATGAC